CTCCTCTCCCCCTCCCTCTCCAATCCAAAGAGCAGTCATGGTTCCCTGCCCTGTGGAAAGTCCAAGGTCCTCCCCCCCTCTGTCCACGTCTAGGAAGGTGAACATCCAAACTGGCTAGGCTCCCACCAAGCCAGATCATGAAATAGGATCAAAACCCCTTGCCATTGACCTTGGCTTCTCATCAGTCCTTATTGTTCGCCATGATCAGAGAGTCCGGTTTTATCCCATGCTTTTTCAGTCTGTGTCGCGGTTTTTAAATATCACAGTTCAGGGAGTCTCCGTATGAATGTTGGCAATAGCAATCATTTACCATATTGTTTAATGATTTCTAATAAATGGTTCAGAGGTCTATAGCATAACCTCTGAATATACATTGTACAATATAATTTAAACACTGTATTTAAAATTAGAGATGATTTTATCCTAGACTGAAACCCTCTTCTTTCAGCTTTTCCATTGGTTCCAGCTCTGGCCAACCAGGAATCTGTTTTCTTGTAACTAGTCATGCTGGCAGGAGTGAATATAATCTGAGACACTTCTGCTTCCCTCTGTGACTATCAGAGTACAGAAAGAAAAGATGCCCAAACTAAGATTTTTTCTGGTGACCTTCTGCTGGGAGAAGAAATGTCTGCTGCCTTCAGGGCACCCAGGAGAAATCTGTCTTCAAAGACCATTACATGCGAGGTAAACTAAGGCTTTTGTAGAGCCTAGAACTAGGATAATCTTGGGCTTGCTATGCTCATGTCTTGTCTGAATCTCAAAGATGAAGTTGGTTATGAGTGACTGTCTCTCCTCCTAAAGTGATCACAATGAATAAATCTGCTTTTTTTTTCTTCTAGATTTCACAATTTGACTCCTTAGTTTGGCTTATTTAGGGGTGTGTGTGTGTGTGTATGTGTGTGTGTGTAACTGCCTTGTTGAGACACAAAGCCTGTGACTCCTTAGTCATGTAACACCTTTGCTTTCTTATTCTGAGGTTTTCACATAGCTGATATAAAATTCCTGGTGCTTTGTTGGCTTTGATGCTTGTAAGGCTTTAAAGTGCTGTCATGTTATAGGAGGTAGAGAAGGTTCTGTTATGTGATGTTAAATCTGTTTTGTAAGTCCACACTTCCTCATTTCTAATTTGATAGATGTTAGCTTTATTCCCACTTTTGACTACTTATCAATACTGTTTACTAATATTCATGTCCCATCCTTTTTTTCCTCTTCTACATTTTGATCTGAACCCCTTTCTAAGTCCACGAATCTTTTACAGACATCACCACGAACATAACCCCTTGTTTGCAAGATATCATTAGAAAAAGACTGAGTACCTCTCTGCTTAAGCTCCAGGGCTGTGCTAAGCACAGCACAAACAAAACATGAAATCAGGTGAACTATGAGCTCTGCCTCAGAGATCAAAGGCAAGAGGACTTAGAGAGCTGGGAGAAAAAAAGGAAAAATAGTTCAAGATCATGTGCAGAACCAAGTTTATCCTGACCTGTATTCTCTAGGAGCCCCGAAGTGGGCAAGATGACAGAGTTGCTCCTGAGTGGGCAGCGAAGAATGGGACACCCGATGTGGCCAGTCCTGGGGTGAGCATGAAAGTGGGTGCAGCAGGGAGCCCGGGAGTTGGGCAGGCAGGAAGCTAGGGCGGAAACTTTTTGCAGGCCCTCGCGGGAGTTTAACAAGCTGGGGCGGGGACCTCAAAATGGGGATCCACCCTGCCTGCTGCTATGTCACTGTTCTGGTTGCGTGTAAAGGGTTCATGTGTGTTTGTTCTTACTTGTCTTTGATATGTAACTACTGGAGCAGAATGCTCAGGATCTTTAAAGTCTGCGGAAGTGGCAGACTGTTTCCAAGGAGCTGCTTGGGTTGCCATTCACAACACAGTACAGCTGTCTCCTGATGTCTCCCCTTGCCTGTTATTATCTTGTTTTTTTGGGCTGAGTATGAATGACGTTAAGTGAATGACTATATGTGTATTGGCCACCTGCAGTATATCATGGATAATGTCTATTCATATCCTTAGATCATCTCTCCTTCTCTTTTTCCTCCTCCTTCTCCTCCTTTTCTTCCTTGTCCTCTTCCTCCTTCTTTCTTTTTGGTATATGACTTTCAAATTCATTCTCCAGGTTTGCAATATTTTTCCCAGGTTTGTGATTTGTCTTTTCAGTACTTTTAATGATTCTTTTTTTTGATGAGAGAAGTTTTCGTTTTAATGAGTCCTATTAGTGAAACTTACCTTAGCTGCTTCTGTATTTGAGGTCAACAGAAAAACAATTTCAAATTCAGTAATAAATATATTTTCACACCTTTATTAATATCTTATATTTATAATTCTTAGCTTTATTTCTTAAAGCACTTTAAATAATCATTTGTATATATTCATTTGTATATGATCATTTAAGAGGGAGAGGCCCCTGAATGTGGGTGACAGTTCTCTGGCTTGGGCAGTCTGTGTGCCCACTGCAATGGGACCAGAATTGATCCTTAGTGCANGATTTGTCTTTTCAGTACTTTTAATGATTCTTTTTTTTGATGAGAGAAGTTTTCGTTTTAATGAGTCCTATTAGTGAAACTTACCTTAGCTGCTTCTGTATTTGAGGTCAACAGAAAAACAATTTCAAATTCAGTAATAAATATATTTTCACACCTTTATTAATATCTTATATTTATAATTCTTAGCTTTATTTCTTAAAGCACTTTAATTGATCATTTGTATATATTCATTTGAATATGATCATTTAAGAGGTAGAGACACCTGAATGTGGGTGACAGTTTTGCGGCTTGGGCAATCTGTATGCCCAATGCAATGTGAACAAAATTTTTCCTTATTGCCTGAACGAGCTTATTTCCCAACATTAAGAATCCTTGACATACATACATATACATATATTATATGTGTAAAACGAATTATCTATTTATCTATCTATCTATCTATCTATCTATCTTATATTTATCTTATATCTATTTTTGAGACAGAGTTGCTCATGTATCCCTGGCTGTCCTAGAATTCTCTCTCTGTACACCAGGCTGGCTTGGAAGTCAGAGATCCATCTGCCTTTGGCCATGGAGTGCTGGGCTTAAAAGCATGTGCCACCATGACTGGCTACCGCTTTGTTTTTCTTTTTCTGTTTTTTCTTCATTTATATTTTTTCATGAAATAAATTTTTCTTTTTGGATTTTGGAGACTGGGTTTTCCTGTGTAGCCTTGCCTGTTATGGAATTCATTCTGTAGTACTAGCTGGTCTTGAGCTCACAGAGATTCCCTTGTATCTGCTTCCAGAGTGCTGGGACTAAAGGGGTGTACCACCAGTCTGGCTACACAAAGTAATTAGAAAATAAAAATAAAAAAAGAAGTTCAGGTTACCCAGGCAAGAAGACATACAACTTTAATCCCAGCACTCAAGCGGCAGATGCAAGAGGATCTCTATGAGTTTAGAGCTAACCCGGGTTACCTGGAGGGTTTGAGAATGCCTGGAGCTGCATAATGAGAGTGTGTCTCAAGAATACAAATAATCATTCACAAGGAGAACAAATGGAAGAAAAGGATAAAAGGAAATAAAGAATAAATATGATAAACAAAGAAACGTAATTTTCTCATCAAACACTGGAGCTGAAGTATTGGCGCAGCAGTTAATAGAGCTGGTTGCTTTTTCAGAGGACCCTGAACTGGCTTGATCTCATCTAATGTGAACTTTGGTTTCAACTCAGGAGTATTGGCAGGAGCCAGAGTCTGCTTCTGTTGTCCTATAATTTTTTTCCCTGTGAACATTCAGTGTTCTTTTAACCCTTGTGAGCAATGATTTCTTTTGGCCAGTGCTGCCTTTATAGCTTGGGCCTGTAACTTTGTGACTTTGGCATAATCTGTTTGCAAATCTATGGGGAACTTGCTTGGCCAGTTTCAGCTCTCTTCCTTATTTCATTTAATCCTAGCATCAGCTTGCTTGTATAGCTATTAAAACGTCGGGAGCTAATCATAGGAATTTTACATCACAAAGGTAATCTATGTCTTATTTTCAGGGTCATGAGATAGAAATCCCAATTTTTTCTTAATAAATGCATGTCATCTGCACACAGGAATCACAGTAGACCTTGAAGCATTTGTCCCATTTCTAGAATAGCACTATCAAGTTATATCTGAGTTAGCTATGATATCAGATTAGGATAGTCTTGTTTTTACATTTAGAATTTAACTTACCCATGAGACCCTTATAGTATATACCTGGATTAAAGAACTAGATCCTTAGATTCATTAAAAAATTATTCACTGAGCCGGGCGATGGTGGCTCACGCCTTTAATCCCAGCACTCGGGAGGCAGAGGCAGGCGGATCTCTGTGAGTTCGAGACCAGCCTGGTCTACAGAGCTAGTTCCAGGACAGGCTCCAATGCCACAGCGAAACCCTGTCTCGAAAAACCAAAAAAAAAAATTATTCACTGAGTATCACATTGTTCTATGAAGTAGGAATATATGGAGAAGACCTGATTTCTGTCCAGAATGAACGTAATATAGGATGGGTGTCAGCTGTCACTGAAAGTGCAAATAAGTGATACAACTTGTCACAATGCCATGACCTGAGTGCCATTTGCTGTTTTATTCCTGATGTTTAGAATTCCTGGATTTTTATTAACTGAAATAGAAATGTGGTATGATGACACATGGTTCCATCAGAACAGTCACTGGTGTGACCTCCAAATAAAGTTGGAGTTGTGTGACTCCAACAATCTTCCTAACAGAGTATTTCTTTTTGATTCAGGGCCATCATAATGTAGGAGGGCTCCAAGTACTGTGGACAAGACCCCAAGGGTCTTCCTTTCTGTATCATGACAGCTTAATCTCCTGTGGACAGGACCACAAGGATTGTCCTGTGAATAATTAAAATCCATTCCCACAGACTTACCAACAGACCAGACATTCCTCAGATGACACTGGGCTTTGTTAAATTAGCAACTAAAGCTAACTAGGTGGATAACTAAATATTTTCTTGATGTGGGATTCCCCTCTATATGCTCAGGTCTACTTCTAAATGCTGAAATAATAGTGACAGTGTCCAGATCAGTTGTGACTAAGGGATACAAAGGAAATCCTCCTTTGCTGTGATGCACTGGAGGAGGTCCATGTGTCAATCCTCCTGACTTCAGCTACTCCCTTTTCTTCTTCTTTCCAGACTTAGCAAATGTCTGGCAGAAAAAGAGCCAGCACTTGGTGATTACTAACATCACAGTCAGCACACAGGCAAGCAGGAATCCAAGCACGTCCAGAGAGTGGTACTGGTACCAGGTGAGGTCATGCACTGCCACACAAAGGTGCTTGGCCCCTTTTTGGTGCAAGACATACTCAATCCAGAAAACAGCTCTGTCCAGGGGCTTCACTGGCTAGTTGCGATGTATTCTTGATAGACACACAGCATTCTCCTTATAGCTAAAGACATCAATATAAAAAACCAATTAGTCTTACGTGCTTCGAGCCTATGAAAGATTCAGGAAAAGCAACAGAAACTAAGTAAATGCAATAGAGGATCACTAGGTATAGTGTGGTTTTCACTGGGACATGTTTGTAGGTTTGCCTGGAAGTTTGTATTTTCTGTGAAATTCTTTCCAGAACTGAAATGGGAAACCATTTTACCTAGGAAATCTTTCCAGCAGAGCAAATATTCATATGCCTTTTCTACCACTGTACTTGGGGTGGTTCATACAGTTTGCACTGATCGCACTGATGCTCTTGAAAAGAAACTGTATCAATATTCTTTGAATGCTCAGTAAAAACACTATTAGTGGTCAAAATGAAAGTGGGTAAGAATGGAATATACATTGCACAATATGACTTCAGGGCTGGGATGCAGGTCCTTGATAACTTGCTTATAAATTATTTCCCTCATCAAATCTTTCTAAACTAGCTTCACATATAGTAAGTCTATGTGGATAGTTTACAGTCTTCTTTGACCATAAATTTCATTGGACAATGTTTGAATGATCTTTTTATTGTTGTTGTTGCTTTCAAACTTAGACCAAAAATTAGACGAATTCAATTGTTAGCTTGGCTAGGACTTATCTAATCTAGTACCAACTGAACAAATCACTGTACTCACAAAGGGTCGTTTATTACTGTCTTCACAGCATGGAGCAACTCTGTGCTGGACATTGTGAGAGAGTTCAGTTGAACCTCTGCTCCTTTGGTCTTCATGTGAACAACATTATCACATTGGTAGAAGCTGCAAAACAATCCCACACCAGTTAAGAATTAGGGCTAATAAAAAGAGCTATTTAAACCGGGCGGTGGTGGCGCACGCCTTTAATCCCAGCACTCGGGAGGCAGAGGCAGGCGGATCTTTGTGAGTTCGAGACCAGCCTGGTCTACAGAGCTAGTTCCAGGACAGGCTCCAAAGCCACAGAGAAACCCTGTCTCGAAAAACCNAAAAAAAAAAAAAAAAAAAAAAAAAAAGAGCTATTTATTTGAGGGGGAAAATTACAGATTACTGTCTCAAAACAACAGTCCTCTCGTCACATACAGGAAACAGAGAGTCTAGTTGCCAGAAAACAGAGCCGGAAGCAAGAGAGAGATCTCCCAGTTCTTGTTGCTTTATAAAGGATAAGTGACCACATCCCAGTAGGCTGGTATCTTAAAGGTTATTGTCAGGGTTCATTTTCTTCTTTTAACTTTTTT